TTTTCTCGAATTATATAAAAGTTTTTTCATCATTATTTTTTTATGCAACAAAATTGTGAAATGGCAGTTGCGAAACGTATATGCTGATGAGTAAGATTGTTAGAAATTACAGTGCAGATGAGATTTGTAGTATCTAGCCGTAAATCGGTCCCTTAATCAAATAAGAACTTTTCTGCTAAGTAAAATAGCTTGTTGATTCTGAAGTAATATCCATGCATTAAAAATTGAAATTAATGTATTTTAAAAGAGTAAGTCCCTGAGAGGCTTACCTTGGCTTTTACTCGAACTTGTCTTAATTTTTCGTCATATATCATCAACGATTTTAAAACAATTTTTTCACTTTTTCTCACCGCAACATTTTTAAGCTTCCTTTAAGTACCAGATATCTTCTATAAAACTGTTGAATACTTTTACTACATAGACACTTACGTTACCGTGTAACTATACTGTAAGAAATTACGGTATAAAGTACCGGTACTTAGGGTTCATTATCCGTAAAATCCATCTTTACCGTAAAATACCATACAATGTTTTTTACAGTAATATTTATTTAATTGGACTGATTCAGTGATTTTATGGCAATAATTACTAGTAAAAATTACGGTCTATTTGATTGTTTTTTTGTTCCGTTACATTTTCTGGTAAAAATGGATTTTAAAAGCACTGGCTTCTCAGGGTGCCGGTACTTTTAGCGTAATTGGATCCATCTCCTGAATGCAAATTTTTAAGACTGGATGATCATCTTGGGATAACCCTGAGAAAGATCATTATCCCCGATTTCTGAGAAGGAAAGTTGTACAAAAAGTGTTTTTTGTTCTCAAAATGTTGGATAGCTTATGATATCATAACACTGTATGAGAAATTGATAGTAACTGTTTAAAGCAGGATAAACCTGTTAAAAGTTACGACTGACCTCTTAATTCGTGCGTCAAGGTCAAGGTCCGATTCAAGATGTCACAACTTCAGCATTTTGTTGACGCTGTAACTATCAGTAGGTGGTCTTATTTCTTTTTTAGACCTGTCAAGACTTGCGTCAAATTTAGGTGTCTCAAATGTTGTGCCGCTTATATCTATCTCGTTTTTGTTAAGCATTTCAATATATTTTTTAAATTGATTTGATTAAGTATATCCGTGTAAGCAATAGTAATTGAAACTCAAAATGCGAAATTTATCTTTATTTCTTTTGTTTTATTTTTGTATATTTTAATTCTTGTGTAAAACGGTGTTTTTTTTTGTGTTAGCTTTAACATTATTGCTCAGTAATATTTAAATGTTTATTATTAATTAATAATAACTATTTTTTGATTAAAATACTTTAATTTATATTTAATTGCTTTTCCCTCTAGTAAAATATATGCAAATTCTTATTGTAATAACTGAACTTGATTGCATGTACAGTACGTGAAGCATTATAACTGTATAGTTATATTTATATATTATAACTATATAGTTATATATTATAACTATATAGAAATATTATTTGCTAATAACTGCTTTCGTAATTAAGGAAATAAAGATTTTCGAAATTAAAATAAACTTTGTTTTAAGCAGACCATTGGAACAAAAAATTTATGCAGTTTACTTTCTTCATAATTCATTTAAAAAAGAATGGATGATGTTGACAATTTTGTAATTTTAATTACGTTCTCTATCATTTTCATTTTTCAACTAGTTAACCACTTTTTTAATGTGGCAGATAACAGGTAGCTGTTTAAATGTGTGTAGATGCAGTCTCGGTTTTTGTGCTCCATCTGACAAATGTAAATCGCATTTATAAACCTGGGATATCTTATAACTCTAACTACAATACTTGGGCAGGTGCTGAGCGAAGAAAAAAAAGCTTGACACCAGACAGCTAGTAGAATTAGAATAAACGAGGTCATGAAAGAGTGCATTGAAAAAAATATTCAAAAATTCCCCCTCCCCTCTCTTATCCATAGAAAGCATAACCAAATCGTCTGCTGTAGCTCCTTTCTGCCGAAAAAAAGGAAAAAAAAGTAAGCAAAAAAAGTTTCGCTTTCTCGGACTGGGCGTTTTTCCCATAGGAAGCAGCTAAATTGAGCTAAAATGTTGGGGATCCTTTTTTATTATTTTTTTTACTTCTTTCATCTTCCCCCTGGGAACTATATTCTCACATCGCAAGAACGGTGACCATGCGGCCGCTGCGCGCTCTCAGCCGCTGAGGTTCATTTTCTGAATAAGCTTTCTTTCTTCTTGAAGTTGTGCGCGCTACCCTCCTAAAAAAATTCTTCAATATCTTTCTAAAAAAAAATATTTTAGCACTGGTGATAATTTCTAGTTAAACTATTTTATTTTATTAATTGTTTTAAAATGTTTGTTCTTAATGACGTATTTTGCAATTAAGTTATATTTAATTTTATCTTTTATTCTGCAATATTATCACATGTGTACGTTATTAGAAATTGTGGAACCCGTTGAACCATGTTACCATTTAAATTTGCTGCGAACTTTATACGGTACTAAGTTAAACCATATTATCGTACTTCGTGAACTTCATTTAGCGATAACACGAATCTATTTATACGGAAACGTGGCTGCAATTTAACATCTTTCTACGATTGCAGTAAATTATCGCGATATTGTGGTTCCATCGATTTTTGTCTCATTTTATTGAGAGTACCCAGTTGGAACCGTGTTTTGTCGCGGTTTTATTCTTTATTTAAATTAATTCTTATGCTACATTTATATTTAGGATACGGCAGATTTTGGATGCACCGTGTTGTTCTGACTAAATTCTGCCAGAACTTCGATTCTTATAAAGAATCATGTTGATATTATCAAATTTTCGTAAATAGATTGCCGTTGCAGAAAAAAAAAAAATTGTGACCGTTGTGAAATATTTTGTCTTAAAAACAGACCTTTCACCATCAATTGTCATTTTAAAATTAACTCAATTGCATTCATAAATTGTAAAACAAATCCTTATAAGACATAGTTTTTGCAAAAAACAGGACCTTTATTTACCCATTCATAAAAACAGGGCAGGGTCCTGGCAGAAAGAATTGCATTACATTTTAATTTTACTTTCAGAAAATTATGAATTAGTTTTTCATAAATTCTCTTAATCAGGACCTCTTATGAAAAAAAAAAAAAATGCATAGATCACTAGTCTTTGTGATTCTTCTTTAAAACAAGGCCGGACCTTATTTTCACAAAATTGTGAGTGGATTTTCCACTATTTGACAAAAGCAGATCTTTAAACGAAAAATTTGTAATGGACGTTAAATTTGCTGTTAATTGTGGAATAAAACAAATAAATTTTCAAAAGCAGCTACATAGGATTGTTTTTATGAATTAAAAACGGAAAAACAAACCTTTCCCATTACAGTCGTCAACAAGTAATCTACCTTTACCATCTTTCCCAAATTATCCTTGATGGGTACACAACAATTCACCCTCATCGAAACGTTCTTTTTGGGTGCCTTGCCGACAACTGATCTTATCCCCGACCCCTCATTTTTTTCCCCTGGTAAATTCTTGGGGGGTAGGTTGTCTTTCTCTAATTCGTTCCCTATTTATCAGAACTTTCACCAATATTTCCTATTATTTATTTATTGAATTTTCTAGCTCTTCTGCTGTAGATTTCTAGATGTTTTTGTTCGTACTTCTCCATTGCTTCGCCATAATTCTTCTTTTTTTTCCGACAGGCTAGTTACCTGTCCTGAAAAATAGAAGAATTTTTAGGCGTGGTTCAGTTTTTAGTGTTTTCGATGTTAACCCAATCGCTTTTGTGTTCGGTACGTCATTCTCGAATTGTAAGGAGTTTTTTAACATGTTTTTCTTCTCCCCCTTCAATCCAAAAAAGGAGTTTTTTGGATTGACAAGTGTCGGATTGAGGGACTTAAAAATTTGTTTGCGTTTTCCATGGTGTCTATTTACATGTTGATAAATGGTATTTCAGGCATGGGTGTATAGATTTTTTTTTTATCAATGTCAATTCGGTAATATAAAATGCAATTGTTGGTGATGAAGTTGCATAAAAAAAGTAATACTGGAAATCTTTCATGTGACTAACTGATAAAATTGAATATTTTTCTGAATGCGTGTAATTATTTGTTGATTAGTTTCAGGAAATGCTAATGTTTTTTTCTGTATTGCTAATTTTACCCTTATTTTTCCTTTCTCCACTCATAAAAATGAACTCCTTTTTTTCATTGCTTTTTAAAAAATTAATATAATAATTATAATATAAATTTAATAAATTAATAATTATATCGCTCATGGACTGCAATAGTGGTACAACTCAAAAAACCCGCGTTTTGGACTAAGAACAGGTGCAAGTATGAAAATACACATTATTTTCAGCAGCAATGCTAGCACAACTCATAATTCAACTTGAAGGTAATCAACGTTTAAGCAAACGAACGCATTTCTTATGCATTTTGCTTAGCAATGAAAACTTTAAACCCACTTATCTCATAACATGATTTTTTGAGTTATATATATATATATATATATATATATATATATATATACAGGGTTATTCATAATTCCCTCCGGGGTTTCGAATCGTTATAGTAAAAAAACGAAGACGAATATGGCAATAAAGAACAAATGAAATTATTCCGAAAGTATTCAAGTTTTAATTTAAGCAGTTGCCGGTAGATGGCAGTAACATGTACCACTGAAGCCAGTTGTAGCAAAGATAAATGACGTTTACAGGCGGAGGGAATTATGAATAACCCATATATATATCGCTTATTAATTATATATTAATAATTACAATATAAAATTAATATTAAAAAATATATAAATAATTGCCTTTTTTTTTTTTTTTTCAAATGTTCAATTGCAATTTTTAGTCTGATCTGGAGAATTTTTCCCCATCTAAAATGAGGAGCATGTAAAATGAAATCGTTATTAGAGAGATAAGAAGAGTTATTATTCACATAATGTTCATACATAGTTGTAATGCAATGGTCGTAAAGGTGTTATTCTCATCATCATCTTAAAAAGGTGTTATTTTGTTTTCCTTTCAGAATTGGGAATTGCTAGTACTCAATACCCTGAAATGGGACTTATCCGCAATAACACCTTTCGACTTCGTCAGCCACATACTCAGGAGACTACGAGTGGTACAACGTGAAGAAGTCATAAAACGACATGCGCACACATTTATAGGAATATGTACAACCGGTGAGTAATATGTTTTTTCTTCCTTCCTCCCTCCTCACATTTTATCTCTTTTTATAGATTATGTAAGTCGGCAATATCAAATTCTCAATGTATGCGCCGAAAATAGCAAACCCGTAACATGTTATAACGTGTTCAAATCAAAAATTTTAGCTTTGTTTTGAATTTGCCATGGCTCATAACGTTACATTAATTCCAATGCATTTTTCTAAAAACCGATTTTAAAAAAAGTAAAGTGTCAGAAAAAATTGCTACACACAAGTACAATATTCATTTATAATGCACAAATATTTATACACTTTTTTAAAAGATGAATGGAGAAAAAAAGAATAAATACATTTAGTCGAAACTTTTAATTTTATTTTACTGCTTGGAATAGAATCACGTGAAAGTAGTTTTAATTCAATAAATAAAATGGTGTAGAATTATTTGAAAACTAGACACGTCTGGTGAGTGAACGGGAAAATGGGACTGTTACTAATAGGAATCTTTATTTGTCATTTTGTGTGTAAATTTATATTTAATGATTTATTTCCGTGGATACCTTATTGCTCAATGGTTACACCCATGAATAAAATCTCAAACCGTTTGAAACTTGGCATCAATTATTTGGTTTTGTTATCCTAACTGCTGTAACTTAAAAGGTTGTGCAAGTTTCAATGTAAGCATTTATAATTTTCAGGTTTGATATTTTTTTGTTTAATCCTATCGTTGATTTATGAGCTAGTGTGGGTGGAACGGTGAACGTGGTATTAAAATAATCGTTATTAATGATCCAAAGAATAAATATGATACAAGAATCATGATACTTCAATTTAAGTATTATAAAGTGAGCAACGTTTGCATATTTCGCGGCAAAACGTATATTTGTTTATTATACATTTGAATAGTTTGGGCGAGTTTTCATATTTTTTTTAATCAAAAATGTTGAGATCAGTGGCCTTCTTAACTATGCTCAACGTCTAAGATTGGCCGAGTACTCTGACTAAGATATACTACTTTAATTTAGCTGCCGAACCAATATTTGGGAACTGATTCTCACTTACAATTCAGATTTAGTGTGGAATTGGGAGATGTTTTAATTTAGCTGCCGAACCAATATTTGGGAACTGATTCTCACTTACAGTTCAGATTTAGTGTGGAATTGGGCGATGTTTTAATTTAGCTTCCGAACCAATGTTTGGGAACTAATTCTCACTTACAGTTCAGATTTAGTGTGGAATTGGGTGATGTTTTAATTTAGCTTCCGAACCAATATTTGGGAACTGATTCTCACTTTCAGTTCAGATTTAGTGTGGAATTGGGTGATGTTTTAATTTAGCTTCCGAACCAATATTTGGGAACTGATTCTCACTTACAGTTCAGATTTAGTGTGGAATTGTATGATGTTTTAATTTAGCTTCCGAACCAATATTTGGGAACTGATTCTCACTTACAATTCAGATTTAGTGTGGAATTGGGAGATGTAACGTTACGTTAGGGTAAAACTCCAGTTGGATTATTAATTATTTAACGAATATGAAACAAAACGTTTGATACTTGTCAATTTGAATATCCATTACGAATAATAGCACGAGATTAATGCGTTTTTATCTTTCTCAAAAATTGTTCAGTACAAAGCATACATCTAAATGTTAAAATTATTTCAAACGGTGCTTTAAAAAATTACTTTTGATCAATAGCGAAAAATTATTGATGTCAAAAACTGCTAAACCTTGAAAACCAGTTGTTCATTTCGAATATCTTGCTCTACTGCATTCAGTTTCAAAGTCATTATATATACTTATTAACTAGTGTGAACTTGCAGACCTGCCAACTTTAGTTCTTTCCGAGGAAGTATATCCTAAGTTGGTAGGTAACGAAAGACTGAAATGCAATTTTAGATGGATGAATTTAATTTTTCGCAATTGCTATGGCTTACGCTCATTTTCGTTTCTGTAACTTGCTTTAATATTTGTATATTGGTTTATTTGCATTTAGTGATTGAGACAAAATCATGTTAAATTTATAAATCCAAGAAGATCCATTTCCACTTTAAATATACTAATGAAATAACGCGGGTAATCCATAGCTATGAACTTGGGATGATTCTGCATCAAATTGTTTGTTTGTTTTCTAGTGGATCCTTTAAAAAATGCGCTGTTAATGATGATTGCAACTATCCCTTCAAACAAATAACGTAGTCGCATAACCGGTCCCCAGAATTTGTCGGCATCCATTGATTGTGCTAAGTCAGGTCCTCAGAGCGGTAGAAAATAACTAGACAGTTACCAACCACCAACCTAGTCTGGCACTCCAAATTACTAACGTCCTTACATCCGGCTATGGATGAGGAAAGACCTACCGGCCCCCATCTTACTGACCCCCACTCATCTGTGTCTCATTTATTTCTATGCTATTTTTATTATCTTCATACAGGAGTAGGAGGAAGAGGAAAGCGATTTTTTTTCTTCTTTACTCGCCCTCCCTCCGTGTTTCTCACGATCTCGCAGATCACATTCCTGGCGATTGAGGGTGGGCGTGGTTTTTGAGAAATTTTTAAGAAATCACAACTCCACCTTTGTCACGAGGGGGGCTTCTGATTGGCTGGACTTATTTTTTCAATGGGTGTGGTTTCGGGTTTCTTTCATTAATGTGCTCACTTCATAGACGGATTTGTGAATGCCGCTGTTTTTTAGCAGTTTTCTGCTAATTATTGTTCTTTGGAATATACCTTCCCTTCTTACTTCTTATATCCTGCTTACTGGAATATTGATGAAGTGCTGCTCTTCAAGCTTGAAATGATTTGTTGAAATAGTTGAGTGTCATTTATTTGTCTTAAATTGAGATTTTTTTTTTTTCATTTTCTTTCTGTATCTATTCAGTGTCAAGTACCGTTTTGTTTTAATTGCATTCAATTTGTTTACCACATATTTATCATTTTGCTCTCAAATATATCTGGTGTGATTAAGTATATTTAATTTAAACATAGACTTGAAACAAGTTCTTAGAAAAAATAATTAGTTTTTATTGTCCATTAAAAAAAAATTTATCTCTTAATTTGATAGATAATAACAATGTGAAGTAGGTTCTTATTTATAGTATATAATCGCAACAAGGTATGAATATAGTGGCTTAGGTCTTAGTGCTGGCATTTTTCGTCAAGAATGTAACCTAAAACCACTAACAACAAAAATAAAAAAGCATAAATAAAATGATTTACATCATATGCTGTGGTATGTAAGACCTGATTTATTTTATTTATTTCTGAAGAGCGATTTGTTTCAAACGCAGCAGCATCGGTGCTATAAACAAGTAACCTTATCAATGCCAAGGTACACTAGATTGTATAATTGTTAAACTTGGGATAACGCCTTTCTGATAGAAACATTCGAACGAGGCAAACGAAGGTTTTTAAAGCTGTGAGATATCGCCAAAAAGGTAACAAGACAATGTAATATTGTCTAAATATCAACTCAACAAGTGTCAGAAGACCAAACTGAACTAATTAATATATGCTGGAAAGGTTTCAAAACGGGGGCGAGGGTTCCATAAGACTGCTGGGCATGACAATATTTAAGAATCTCTAAAATACCACTAACTCGAAGGTTTTAACAACTCGTACCCACCCTCGGGTAAATCTCTGAATTTTTTTTTTTTTTTTTAATTGCTAGTTTAAAATTTTTTTGACGATTGAGTAGGCGCGCAACAAATGACGATACGGAAATATCCCCAAATTATATTCACTTAAAACTATCTGGAGTTCACAAAGATTACTAAAGTCATGTTTATTATGTGCAACATTTCCCAATTATAATTACCTTTTCAAGTCTTAAGGAGCTCAGAAGTTTTCCCCCTTTTTTTTTCTTCTGCTCATCTCATCAAATAAATCTCACTGATTATTCATCTAGTTATCAGTGCGGCTCTATCTGAAACGTCCACTTTCATTTACCTTTTGAAGCGTAAATCTGCGAAAAAAGATTCACGCATCCATCTTTTTTTACCTCTTGAAATATTATCCGCAATAGATACCCTACAAGGTGGTCTTAAAAAAAGTGTTGTTTTAAGGGGAAACAGTTCTTCAAGAGAAAATATAAATGCCTGCTTGTTGACTGAACTTCTACAGGTTCTTCTTAAATACCAAGATGTGATAGAGATCTTTGTTGAACGATAAACAATAAGGTATGCCGCTCCTACGGAGAAGTTTTTTTTTTTTTTTTTTTTTTTTNGAATTTTTTTTTTTTTTTTTTTATATTCTTCTATCACCTCTTCAAGTCTGATGGCAGTGACATCTTTCTAACCGATAAGGGAGTCATTTTTTTTTCTTCTTTTCTTTCAAGTGCTTTGAGATTTATGAATGAAAGAATTTTTAGAGAAATAGAGTTGAAAAAATTTAGTTGCTGGTGCATGATTTCAGGTGAATATTCATTTTTTTTTTTGTTGAGATTTTACATAAAATACTGACTAAAAAATTCGTTGAATGAAAAGGGAAACAGTAATTCTTTAATACAGCACTGCGATGATTGATATGGTATGCTACGCTCAGAGAAAATTAGCTCAGCAGTGTACCAAAGCATCAGTACCTTGAATCATAGTACCGACTAAAATTTGCTGCAATAATTTTTTGATCAGAGTTGATCCTTATTATTGCGAAATCAAATTTGACAAGGGTTAACATTAATTAATCGTGGTTAAAACTGGTACCCTATCAGGGTTTCACCCTCCGTCTGATGTTACCACCTTGTCGTGGTGAGTGAATGATACATTTGACTGATATTATAGTTCAGTGCACCCCAAAATTTAGTACAATGTAGTCGTTGTGTGTAAAACAATAGTAAAAGTTTGAAAGAGATTTTTCCTGTTAGTGAATGAAAAAATAAAATTTATGCTATTATAAAATTTTCTCAACTCTCAATTTTAACTCTTTTGGCGCATGTAACTTGTTTTTACCAATATCCTTTTCGGATTACGAACATTTTAATACTTAACACGATATATTCTCTTGTATTTTTAAATAACCGCTA